CTGTCAGCTCTGATTTAAATGTCCCACATGCCAACTACCCTCGAGTCTCTGACAAGTCACAGTGACTCATACCTGTACTGTACTGCAGGAGCTCAGTTCAGACAGCTTAGTTGCTTTTTGTTTGCTGTGCTATAAACAGGAAATACAGCCTCACGGCCTGTCCGTGATCGAACTAGCTGAGTTAGCACTACCGCTAGCAAGCTATTCCTTTACTGTAGGCCTGAGGTCTGAGTGGACTCAATATCACCTTTAAAAACATACGTCCTAATTATGGCTGTTTTAGGAACTAGTGTCTTAGACTTAACATAGATTTTCAACTATAGGTTTTTAATTGCTGGAGCATCATGTGGCTCTCAGTGCTGGTATTTCTCCTTGTTTGGGTCTGTTCAGGTCCAGTGCATTTTGGATCAATCATAATAAGTAAAAATAAATGTTCTTGCATCGCTTTTGGTTCTGGTTCCTCTAATATGTATGCACATAAGGTCTGGAGAGGTTTTCTGGGTGTTTGAATCAGCTCCTAAGTTTTGAACCCATGAAGATCTCTAGCACATTGTAGCAGTTCTTTACAGTCCAATATTCTGGGAAATTTGCTTATTCGCTTTCTTCTTGAGAATTAGTTAAGAAGATTTATACCACTCTAATGTCTGTATGCTATAGATGAAGACTGGAAGCAGGGGGTCACACCTAGTCTGGTTCTGTCCAAAGAAGAAAAATATTTGCTTTCAGCAGCTCTAAATCTGATTAATTAATGCATTATATGTTGTTTCTTTAATTTGTGCACAAAACTAAATGTAAAAACAGCAATTTGTGGTTTTATGAGGGCTGCAACTAAAGATCATTTTTTATGATTGATTAATCTATCAATCATTTTCTTTATTAATTGATTAGTTTTTTAGTCCATAAAATGTCAAGCTGAAAATTTTTTTTACAGAAAAAATGTCTCAAAACAATGAATAAATTATCAAAATAGCTGACATCTAATCAATTAATAAACTGATCGTTGCAGCTCGAGTTTGCTCTAGGTGGAGTTGCATGCTGGGACTATTTCTTGGCTGTTGTTTTCACTGTGAGGTTGCCAGGCAACCACCATAGGCTAAGCTAAGCAAATAGGCTGCTGGTTCCAGCTCCGTATTTAGTGTTCAGATGTGACCGTGGTATTGATTTTCTCATCTAACTCTTGGCAAGAAGGCACATTTCCAGAAAATGTCATACCATCCCTTAAGTCCCATTGAGTGCATTTATCTTTAATTAGTCTTATTCAACCTTCTGGGTGATTGGTATTCTAACACAGTGTCCACAGACTGTGGTGGTTTGTCAGACTGTCAGACTGCTGAGGGGTTATGTATTAAAATCTGTAAATTTAGGATGAAGCTGGCACTCAGTGTTCGGTTTCAGATATGCTGCGGCTAACAGCTCTCTCTCTCTCTCTCTCTGTAAAGGCAGAACAAACACGTGAGGTTGTCAGAGAGACTTTACTTAACGCTCTGCAGTTTCTGGTTCTGTCTGCCCTCGGTTAGACTTCGAGCTGCTGCTCTTCAACTTTCTGAGTTTCTGTGTTGAGTGCTGAGGAGATTCTCCTGGGGCAGACGCTGCAGAGTACACAGCTTTTCAGCCTCTCCTTTCTCAGATCCTTTCTTCTCTCCTCTCGTCTCCTCATGCTCACTCCCTTTTCATCATTTAGTCATCAGGATGCGCTTGAGCTCCCTGCCTCGGGAGGCTAAAAATGGCTACCACCTCTGCGCTGGGTGCTATATGGTACTCAAGCTGCTAGCATCAAGTAGTAGAAGGAGAGAAAAAAATGCAGCAGCTCTGAAATTCAGTCCTCCTTCCTGTGTTTTTCACTCTAAATGGGGTCTTGTGTTTTGTGTTTCTGAGTGTACTTAATGAGGCTCTCAGGAGGGACGTGTTCCCTGTGAACTAAACGACCTTTAGCAGGAGACATTTGTCTCTTTGGATCTGGGCTCATTACAGCTAACACAAGGGAGAATCCTCTCTATTGCATTAGGATTTGCAGTTAATGACATTGATTTTACACAGCTAGGGAAGAAAACACAACAACAAGGTAGCTTTGTGCATTTCTGGGGGGGTCCAGCCCATCTCAGCTGGTTACAAAGAGAGGCTGTATTATTACCTGCTGAATAATAATAGGCTATACTTGTATAATTGCTGACTGGACAAATCATACGTGTATGGCAGCATCACATGACTGCACCAATATATTTCAATGATCTTTCCTTTCCAGCTCTCCTCTCCCCCCCATAGCCAGCTTACTTACTGCTGTACTAAGCTTTTTCCTGCACCTGCATACACTACACCTCTCTGGTTATTCCACTGGAATAAGCTCAAGTATAAGATTAGTTATTAATTCCTTCTGTCGTCAGATTTTCTTCTCTTCTCCTACACTCACTTCCTCCTTACCGGCCTGCTTTGGCACAGTTGAACTGTTTCGAGTAGAACTGAGGTGTCAAATTGATATTTATTTATGTACCAAATAAATAAATTATAATATATAAGAATATGTTTGGAGATAATCCCATGAAAAGAGGAGTTAGTCTGTCTCTCAATATTTCCGGACTCAAGCCCACAGCATTCTTCTGAAGATGTACTATAAATCTTTAAATATGTTCTTACTTAAACAGGATTAAATAGTGCATTTGTTGGGGACTATTTTCAGCTGTGGATTAATACACATTTGGCATTAGGTGCTCCAACAAGTATTTCCAGCATTCTCACTGGGTTTGGATACTTGTCGGTGGGATCAATTCAATGTTGATTTTGGTCTTTTAATGCAATTAATAATGCAATTTGATAAGAAAAAATATAGACTATCATCATAATTATCAGATAAATCAGAATATGTCAATCAATACAACAGTGTATACCCACATTCTTTCACTGAGAATAACATTTACAGTAGTGCTGGTTGTTTCTGATACAAAGTTAATGCAGACTGTGGAAGTCTTTGGAATTATGCTTCTGTGTATAATATTAATGAACACGTGTATCAGCTGGGCTTAAATGCTCTGTTTTCATTTCGACTGCATGTGGACCTAAGTGTGTTCCCTTAAATATTTATCCCGGGCTTCATCTCCAGTCACTCTCTCCCACTTGTGCTGTTGGGGGAGATGGGATTTGTAAGCGAGGGAGGTTTAAATAAACCACAACAGAGGCAGAATATGTCTCTCTCTTCTCTGTAATTACCCCCCTGACGAATAAAGAGTAATTAAATCTGAATCTTGTATAGCGTTTCAAAGCACTAAATGCTTACTGACTGCTTTAGCAAGCTGGCCTTTTCCACCTCTTCCTCCCACTCTGCTTCATGTGGCATCATGTTGCACTTTTTATGGACACTGTTAATGGACCACAGGTTTTATTTAGCCCCATTTAAGTGAAAAATTCAGACTAGGACTCTATGTTCCAAATACCCTGAGTAAGCTGGCCAGCTAATCCTGTATTTAACTGTTAAATTTGCATGTTTGTTTGTTTTTTTTCAAAATATTCTCTTGCTTCATCCTGCCAGCCGGCCTCCTAAACAACAATGTTCGCACACTGTCCAATTATACTAAGAGCCTGATGCTCGCTCAGAGCCAGTCGCACAAGCTTTCAGAGGATCAGCACAAACCGGCAGCAAAAATGACTCTCTGTGCTCGGTTTATTATGTGTGTGTGTGTGTCTGCAGAGCTGGGTGGCACTGTTGTTGGCAGGAATCAGTGTGAGAGATTTACAGCTGAAGGCAATCCTGCATGGCCGTCCGTCCAATCTGTTTCCGTGGTAACCGTTGCATTTCGGGAAGCCATAGCAGGATGAGGAATATAAATCATCCACTACTCAAAAATGACCCCAAAATTGGGAACAAGATATTATTTATAAGACTGGACAGAATGCACGCGGCACACATACAGGATAATTCAAACCGTCAAGGCTGAAAATTGGCTTCACTAACACAGAATGAGGCAGAATGAGAAAAAGAGCCTGAGGAAAATAACTCAACAGAGAAATCTACACTGTTGGGCTTCAGAGGCAGAACTAGAGTGGGTAAATATTGTAAGCAAACTGAATTAATATTATATCATAATTATAACTGCATCGCAAAATTATCTTGATTTGCAGATAAATGATACTGAAAAAAAAAGATGCATTCAGGACACATGGGAGGTCTTATTCCTCAGCACATTATGAAGCCAAAGTGCCCTTCAGGGTGTCTTCAGTGTGCTCTACTGTATTTTATTACCCAGAGTTGTGTGGTTGAATTAATTTCGGCATTCCCAGGGCCTAAAATAATCCAACCTGGTATCAGGCCAAAGTGTGTAACATACACACTGCTCTACTGTGCCAAAGTCACGTTTTGCCCTGCCTAGGCGTGGCAGTGTCACGT